TTTTGAAGATGCAAAAGAGTATGTAAATTTGTTTTATAGGGAAGATACATCATTGGCTGGAAACTAGAATCTTTTTGCTATTCGATGTTGGATCTCCTGCAACAAACGTTGCACACATGGGGTCCCAAATTCCCCACGAGACACGTGCGCCCTCTGAAGTATTCAATAAACGTTATATGCGTCTGCACGAAATTGGATGCGATCGGCGTATATACTCGAGAAAAATATGCGTACAATGTTTAAATGAAAAATGTTAATTAATCTTATCTAAGAATTGACATCTTTAAGATAACGTGTTTTCTAAGATGTATAATTATTTGTATAGATAAAATTGTATTTAAGCATCTAAAATATTAACTATATGTATTATAGAGAATAAAAATTAATTTTAAATAGCAAAGTAATTAAACGTATATTTGCCTTAAAAAAATTATTCTTTTCATTATAGACTCAGAAATTCAGTTTTATTACATATAAATTTTACTATCAGGTAGAACATAAAACTTATACTGACATCATTATGTGGCTATGTTTTGGTGACTTATTTATGATATCATAATAGTGACTTTAATATGACCTCCAAAAAGAAGAATATTATCACAAATTGATTGATACACGAAATTTATTTGCATTATACATATTATTAGCAAGTATACATATTATTATTATAAATAACTAATAATAAACATTATTGCACACAAAATGTAGTACTTTAAGATCATGTGTAATTAATAATGTAAAAATTAAAATAAAATATTTATTTTTAATAGGAAAGCAACTTAAAAAAACTGCGCGTGCATAACAGAAAATGATTTTTAAAAAATAGAAGTAGTTCAAAATAGAAATTCTGACAGTCATAGTAGAATATATAATATAAGTACATCATGTTAATATAAAAATTAACAAACTCTTCTCTAATTATCTCTTTTAACTATAACGTAAAAGTATCAATGTTTGAATATATACTTAAAATCTATGATTCTTTGTGTCCTCTTCAAATCATTCTTGTTTGAGTAACTTTTAAGTGATGAATTAAATCATGATGATGTCATTATGACATCATTATGAGTTTTATGCTCTACCTGGGACATTCTATACCTTCCCAGCAGATACCAAAGTAACAGTTACATAACATCAATATAAATATAATATAACACATGCCTGGTTATATATTACATTTGCATTGATGTTATGTAATTGTTACTTTGGTGTTTGTTGGGTTAATTATCTATGTGTATGTATATTAATGTTATTTATATGTATAAAACTTTATATGTATATCATAATAATGAGATTAATTTTATTTATCACTTACTAAATTTATATATGTATGTGCATGTACAAATATTTGTTTCACAAAAATAATTATTTTAGGAAAATTATAATTAAATTTTTGTAATATGTGTGTCTTTTCTCCTTCTTATATTTCCTTAACAAGACGTTAATTTTACAACAAAAATGATTTTCAGACGAAATATGATTATCCATGAAACAAATATTGTTTTCACGTTACATTCATATTATTATATTTCTTTTATGTACAACGTATGCATGTACATACGATCTGTTTGTAATTAACACGCGCGCGTCAGGCAGCATTTTTATGACATTTATAATAATGTCCGAATAGAAATGGTCGTGATTCCGACGGAGCATGGGGACTAATAAGGCAGGTCGTTGGCTGCGTCGCGAAATCAGGCTAGGGCGGTAAAGGTGAAAGGTCAAAGGCAACGGGCTAGCACGGATATCGACTCGGGTGAGATCGAGAAGGCGAGGTAACCGGGTTACAGCCGGGGCGGCGGATAGGCGCCCTCCAAAGCGGGCTGTCCTAGAATTCGACTTCGGCGTTTTCGCACGCGCGCGCTGTCCAACTCAACATCCCCGCGCCTTTGTACCGCGAAGGGTCGCGAAATAATTAAGAATAGCAAATGCACAAATTGCCGTGAAAATGCAAAACGCAATTTATTGTTGCTCTGGCGTAGCGCTTCCTCTCTCCCTGGCTTGTACGAGTGCACTTTTGCAATAATACAACATCCCTCTGCAGTCCAAATTACCGTAAAAGAAAGGCTTCTTTTATACGAACAAAGGGCTGAGAATCACAACGAGGTGTTCGCGTCATAACGTTTCATCGAAATTCTACGTAAATTTTATATACTTTTTTTCACCTAAATAAACCGCTCGCCGATTATTTGTATTTTACTAGAATTCTGTTCCTCATCGATAACCATCTTAGATTCTGGCTCAACCGAATCCTTCCGCAAGTGCATGATCGGATCGTGTTTCCCCCGGTTTTTTTCCCCTCTGCGAATGCGACACTTAATTTCGTGTGAGTACGGTGAAAGTGACAGGTCAGCTGCTGTTATGCTCGCACCCCCGCCTATATTCAACCCTGCGCAAGGTGCCTTCTGCGCGCGCGGCTGCCGATGATAGAAGGAATGAAAGGGATGAAGAGGGAGAGAGAGAGAGAGAGAGGATAGAGGCGCGTGCGGTGCGGCTGTCTGCGGCTGCTCCTCCGTCAGTCGGTGGTCGTGGGTGGTCGCACGCACGCTCGGGGGTGACGGGTGCGTCTACATTCGCGAGGAGGGCGATGGAGGCTTCGTGCGCCTTGCTGGCGATCGAGTGAGACGCGCCATTCGTTGAACCGCGCCGCGCCGCGCCGCGCCGTCGTCGACGTCGTTCGCGTACCGAGTCGTCCGGTGACGAGGGTGGCACGACACGGACAAGGGCAGCGCGTGAAACAGAGCCCTCGCGAGCAACGGGGGTGACAAAAATGTCGCTGTATCGCTGTTTATCGTGAACGAGTCGAGGAAACACGACGGAAGGGCGGAGGGAGGGAGGGAAAGAAAGAAAGAGAGAAAAGGGGGTTGAACACGCGCGCAAGGTGTGCGACGTTACCTCTCTCTCTCTCTCTGCCTCTCTCTCTCTCTCGGATTGTTGGTACGCGCAGTCGTTTTTGATGTTGTTCGCTGGCTTGATGCCTGTCTCTTCTTTTTTGTTTGCTATATATTGCTGTCGCCGCCGCCGTTCGCTGCTGCAGCGGTCATTAGCGACCGAATCCAAGAGAAAAGAGAAAGTAAAACGTGTGTACTCGAGCGTAGCCTTTTTTTCATTGTCTCGTTGTTGTTGTTGTTGTCGTGATCTTCGTTGTTCCTAGACTCCTCCAATCTTCACCGCTAAAGAAAAAAGAAAAAAAGAGAGAAATTTTCATTGCCGTCGCGAGAGAACGTTGCAGGAAAGAATTGGATAACGTACCCGGGGGTGGCCACCAGCCAGCCTGTGACTTTCTGTCTGTCACGAATAGACGATAACACTCTTCTACTCTTCTCCGTGCCGTCTGCATGCGTCTTGTTCGCCACGAACCACCTTGGTCCCGCGGTACCGTCACACGCTGAATGTCTCTTCCCCCCCCCCCCCCCGTCTATATCTTCATGCATGCACGTACTCGTCCTATAAGCATGCAGCTTATCCGCCAGGCACAAACGACGTAACGCTTGTCATCCAACTCATGCATTTTTAACCGACGCGTCGTGGACAACTGTTCCGGGGAACGATTCCGAATCTCCGGGGTATAGCAGCTGATTTTTCGACGTAAATAATTTCTGGCCTTCTTCACCGGCTGCAAAATCGGTCAGCCTCAACCGCGCCGTTATTTATGCAACACCGAAATTCAAGAAGGGAAAATGGAGAGGTGACAAAAAGAGGAATGCGTTGATTAATTATTCGTCCCTTTCTACATCTGCCTGTGGGAGGGGAGAAATAATTAATCGCGCGGTGGCGGGTCGGTACAAGTTCGTGTTTTTAACTACGTCCTCCTCCAGCTCTCATTATAAAACTATCAAGTTATTAGAAATTCTATATTAAAATCGTTTGGATTATTAGTGCAACCGGCTCTACCGTGAGATCAAGTAATTTCCAAAACTCGGATAAACTGAAATTAAAAATTCAAGCATTTCTTGCTCCTTAGTGAGTTTATCAATTAATAGACTAACGAGTCTAAACTGTGATAATATAATTCACTTTGTGTCTAAAAGGAAAACTTATTTCTAGAGACATAAAGGAGTTAAAAATTTTAATACTTTTGACAGACGTTGCTGAAATCGGCCATTAAAATCACTTTAATCAATATAAAAGTCGCCAATTACACTGAGAAAAATTTCCATCGGATAAACCAATGAAACTGTGTTTCCGATGGTTAATTTTTCCGATTACGTTCTTCGAAGCAATTATGGATACTTCCGATGAAATTTATCCGATGAGATGCAGTTACCGATGAAATTTGTTTGACAAACTCACCATATTTTTCATCACACATACAATTCAATTGGATGCATCCGTTTGTTATTATGTAATTGGATTATCCGATTATATTTAATCGGACATTTTTCTCAGTGTATAATTGATTTTAAAAAAACTCGCGTTTGGCACACAATTTGCAGCTTATTTCACTAATTCTTTTCTCATTGCTTTTTCTTCGCAATGGGCGCTTGCGTGAGCACTTTTGATATGGATGTGTGTAAATATGTATAATACATGGCTTTCAACATTTTTAGAATATTGTAAATTAATGGTGTGATATTATCGCGATCTTTACCTATGCCGTAGGAATACTGTAAATATGCTTCCTCGCATACACAATTCAAATTAAATCCTTTTGAATAAGCTGAGTAAGTTAAATGCACTTCATTGAGCGAATCGATCAATTCGTATTGTTTTTAAATTTAGAATAAATCAACCTGTATTTTATCACAGTCAAATTTAAGAAATAACTCACTTGGATAAGCTAAAAATATCAAATTGTTTCGCAGAATTAACATTTATTAATTCGCGAATTAAGCTTTAAAATATTTTAAATTAATTTTGTATGTGAAATAATTCACAAATGAAGAAAATATTACACATTTATATTTTATCATATACATATTTGTTTAAATTTAGTTTAAAGAATACCATTAATTTATACAATACTGTTCCATTATTAAAATTATGCAAAAGTTTATGAAATTGCGAAGGATGTTTCCAATTTCATAAAAAATTATTTCCAGTATATTTAATTACGTGTATAAAATTTTCATGTGTCGTAGTAGAATAGGTATGGCAAGTAGATGTAAATTAAACGTAAAACGTAACCTTACGCTTTCCGATTGGATATTCAGCGAACGCATAACCGAATTAAGTATCCGATCTATAAGAGCAATAGGTGTTGCATGTTATTTACCATTTAATTATAATTATACAGGGTGATTATAATTACAGTTTAACTTTCAAAATGCTGTAATTAAACAACAACTGTGCAGAATGACCTGAAATTTGAACTGAAGATGCAGGAAGAAGGGGGAAAGGGTATGACATGAGAACACACTTAGTTCCAAATTGTATTGATAGATGGCGCGAACAACTCCTGAACATGGGTAATTTTGTAGGGATAGCAGTGCAGGATGTTGCGTAGAATTTTATGCACCGTGCTCACAGGCATGTCTAAAGACCGGGCAGAAAATGATTAAGAAATTCGAAGAGACAGGTTCTTTTGACATGAAATCTGGCAGAGGGAGGAAAGCAATTGCGTCGACGGCAGTAGAAGATGTGGCCTTAGCAGTAGAGGAAGGCACGTGCAGTGGTCAGCAAACGACCAGTGCACGGGGAATTGCCCGGTCTTTAGACATGCCTGTGAGCACGGTGCATAAAATTCTACGCAACATCCTGCACTGCTATCCCTACAAAATTACCCATGTTTAGAGACCCTAGAAGATAGAGACTGGACAACTGGCGGAAGTGTCCACAAAATGGCCGTCAGTGCCGCGATTTAATTGAATCTTGTGCTGCTGTGTCGTGTAAGTAATATGATTTTTTTCATTTAGAGATTGTGTGTAAATGAAAAAAATCATATTACTTA